TCCTCAAAATGTCAAATAAACAGGCTGGTTGAGCTGTTCACCACTAGGTTGCGCATGATTGTTTCCTTTCTCTCACAGTCCAAATTTATTTGTTACTATTATAATAAAGATGCAGTAAGTGTAGAAATATATATTCCTTGAGAAATTTTTGGAAGTTGGAACAGCAATACGCTGTTCTGACTCATAAAAATTGCCAAAAATAAAGTCTCCTCTTAATTTAATACTTCGTATGTTTTATGATGATACGATAATAATATATTATATTATTTAAACAAGTATATGTATTAAATAATAATACAATAACTAAATAGAATAAATAGTATAATATAATAAATAACTAAATATCTTTATATGTAAAAATCCTAAATATTTATGTCATGTGTTTATTTAGCGTTTTAAACGCTAATAGCAATTACCCAATGACTAGGTTAAATAATATAATCCATTATTATCCTATCGTCACAAAATATTCAGTTAAGATGAGACTGTATTTTTGCTAATTTTTATGAGTCAGAACTGCGCATCGCTGTTCCAACTTCCAAAAATTTCTGTGGTGAAATGTGTATTTCTACATTTATTTACTCTTGATTATAATAGTAACGAACAAATTTGAACTGTAAGAGAGGAAACAATCATGCGCAATGGTGAATAAATCAACCAGTCTGTTCATTTAACATTTTAAGGAAAATCTATTGAACAACTAAGAGCAAAACGTAAGATATCTAACAGCATTTCAAGTGTTAAACGAGCAAATAGTTGAATCCGGGGTGGATAATGAAAAAAAAACAATAGATCGAAATAAAAATATTATATATATATATATATATATATATATATATATATATATATATATATATATGTATATATAAATGTTATATATAATATATATATTTTTTTATTTATATATAATTTTTTCATTATATATCCTGGATTCAACCATCTGCTCGATTGACACTTAAAATGTTATTAGATATCTTACATTTTACTTTTAGTTGTCCAACAGATTTTCCTCAAAATGTCAAATAAACAGGCTGGTTGAGCTGTTCACCACTAGGTTGCGCATGATTGTTTCCTTTCTCTCACAGTCCAAATTTATTTGTTACTATTATAATAAAGATGCAGTAAGTGTAGAAATGTATCTTCCTTCAAAAATTTTTGGAAGTTGGAAAAGCAATACGCTGTTCTGACTCATAAAAATTGCCAAAAATAAAGTCTCCTCTTAATTTAATACTTCGTATGTTTTATGATGATACGATAATAATATATTATATTATTTAAACAAGTATATGTATTAAATAATAATACAATAACTAAATAGAATAAATAGTATAATATAATAAATAACTAAATATCTTTATATGTAAAAATCCTAAATATTTATGTCATGTGTTTATTTAGCGTTTTAAACGCTAATAACAATTACCCAATGACTTGTTTAAATAATATAATGCATTATCCTTTCGTCAAAAAATATACAAAGTATTCAGTTGAGATGAGACTTTATTTTTGCCGATTTTTATGAGTCAGAACAGCGCATCGCTGTTCCCAATTCCAAAAATTTCTGTGGTGAAATGTGTATTTCTACATTTATTTATTCTTTATTATAATAGTAACGAACAAATTTGAACTGTGAGAGAGGAAGCAATCATGCGCAATGGTGAATAAATCAACCAACCTTTTCATTTAACGTTTTAAGGAAAATCTATTAGACAACTAAGAGCAAAACGTAAGATATCTAATAGCAATTCAAGTGTTAATCGAGCAAATAGTTGAATCCGCGATGAATAATAAAAAAAGAACAATAAATCGAAATAAAAATATTATATATATATATATATATATATATATATATATATATATATATATATATATGTATATATAAATGTTATATATAATATATATATTTTTTTATTTATATATAATTTTTTCATTATATATCCTGGATTCAACCATCTGCTCGATTGACGCTTAAAATGATATTAGATATCTTAAGTTTTACTCTTAGTTGTCCAACAAATTCTCCTCAAAATGTCAAATAAACAGGCTGGTTCACCACTAAGTTGCGCATGATTGTTTCTTTTCTTTCGCAATCCAAATTTATTCGTTACTATTATAATAAAGATGCAGTAAATGTAGAAATATTTCACACAAGTAACTCAATTTGTGGAAGCCAAAACAGCAATTATGCTGTTCTGACTCATACAAATTAGCAAAAATAAAGTCTTATCTTAATTTAATACTTTGTATATTTTATGAGATGATAGGATAATAATATATTATATTATTTAAACAAGTATATATGTATTAAATAATAATACAATAACTAAATGGAATAAATAATATAATAAATAACTAAATATCTTTATATGTAAAAATCCTAAATATTTATATCATGTGTTTATTTAGCTTTTTAAACGCTAATAACAATTACCCAATGACTTGTTTAAATAATATAATGCATTATTATCCTTTCGTCATAAAATATACAAAGTATTCAGTTAAGATAAGACTTTATTTTTGCTGAGTTTTATAAGTCAACACAGAGCTGTTTCAACTTCCAAAAATTTTCTGTGGTGAAAAGTGTATTTCTACATTTACTTACTCTTTATTATAATAGTAACGAACAAACTTGAACTGTGAGAGAAAGGAAACAATCATGCGCAATAATGAATAAATCAACCAGTCTGTTTATTTAACGTTTTGAGGAGAATCTATTGGACGACTAAGAGCAAAACGTGAGATATCTAATAACATTTTAAGTGCCAATCGAGCAAGTAATGAAAAAACGATAATAGATAATAATGAAAAAAAAAAAAAAAAAA